TGATGATAAGCGATAGAACGGGTTTGCTTCTACCGAACTCCTCACACAGCATACCTAGACGATCTGGGTAGGCAAGCCGACGCAGCAAAATCAGCAGACCCTCCATTCCGTTCCACGTGGTCCTACATGGTGCTCGAAATCTATGTGGAACTTGTAACGCTATGAACAGCTCTTCCAATTGTCGATGCGTAAATCTGAACTGACGAAGACAAACATCATCATCCAGCAAGTTGAAATCCAGCCGAATTCCAATTTCCTGGGGGCCTACAAGGAGGCCACGGGCAGCACACAGCTCCACACCGCCGATCAGCATGAGCAACTCCTCATCATCCAAGTCCCCCTCGTCATGGGCTAGCAGGAATAGGCAGCAGAGCACTGCACTTTTCTCTTCGCCACTTATTTCCGCTACGTTCATCGTTCTCACCAAACCAACTTCTAACACAACCAAGCTCCCAACAAATCTCGTGTCCTACACTGATGAAGCAAGTAGAAGTGAATAGAGTCTATCGGGTGCTGCAATGAATATAGTTACTGCAATTGTAGTATACACTTTTCAAAATACGCTGTTTGGTTCCACGTGGGTGTCGCCACGTGGCGGGCACGGCTGTACAACGTGCGTGAGATTGCGTATGCATTATGCGTAGATCTACGTGCGAATATCGCGTACTGCGAAAAAGTGCAGAACACAAAGTTCGTGCGAAACTTCGCACAAATTTTCGTCACGCTGTTCACGAAAGTTTGTACGAATTTTCGTTATGCAGAACCTCTCTAATGCCCATATTTGATGGCTCAATTATTCATTGCTTTGTTTGCTCGATAAGTCTCGCGACTTTCCGACTTTGGATAATCTACCAAATGACTACCGACTCAATAGATTTTCTCTTTGCGTTGTGCTTCGCTCCCGACCATATCCAGCTTCTGTTTCTTGGTTTGAGCAATTGCTGCAAAGTGTTTCCAAACTCATCATCGATCAGTAAGTGACAAGGGAGTCCCTAAAATTATACCTTTGAAATTGGGAGATTGGAACGATTCCCTCCCCTCCCCCTCCCCAATCTATGACTGGAGACTGGTCTACATGACCATAATACACTGTCGTACCACAACCTACCATATCCTATGTCTAACATCCAATGGTTTTGAACATACAATGAACTATTTTCCCTGATAGAGGTACATCATCAAATGATGCTGCGTTTGTCTGATGAGCAAGACATGTTCAGTGACTACAAATTACTCTAGAGGCTGTGGCAATCGGTATGTCCAATCAATGATTGTTCTGTATATTGTTTTGGGTGTACAGGACACCGATAATGGTTGATTCGGAAATCGAGTAATACCAAGAGTTACCACCGGTAACCCCAGAGGATGCAACTGCCTGTGAAACCTCAATCAAATTCTGCTAAGGCAGAACACCTAAAATCTCGTGGAATATTTCAATAGGATACGCAGGAAAACTACAAAAAGTGTCCAGCAGGGAGCTGACCCAAAGCAGAGCTGGCGTAGAGCCCTGTATCTATCATTAACAGGGTGGAAGTAATGTGTACAAGGGCGTCGGAAGCGGTACGACTGGTACGGCTCTAGCCGTACCACTTTTGGCTCCAGGTGGTCCACGCGGAACGTTCAAATCCGGTGTAAAAAAGGGGGGTATCGAGTTTGTACATGACCACACGTGATCGTGACCCGCGATCCGTCACCGGTGCACCAGTCAACTGCACCATGTAATAACGCGTTGGAGAGCTCTCTCGCTCTCCCTCCCCCACCCACTCTTGGTGCGTCTAGGTGGCTATGAAGTCGAGACCCCAGGTCGGTGGAGCTCCCTAAACCTCACCACCACTGGCACGATTCAGGTTGTGTCTGCTTCCCCTAGCTGCATCTCATGTTTGGCATTTAAGTGGTCTTTGTAAAAATAAAAATAAAAAATAAAAAAGATGGGTATTTTGAGTGTTTTTTGAAAAAATTCCCGGGGGACGTTTCCCCCGCACCCCCTCTGACTGTCCAGCTGTACCACTTTCTACCTCCTTCCGATGCCCCTGGTGTAAATCTACGGATCTGTCAAATTATTTTGAGGTTCGGCCCTTGCTAACCCTATAGACTGGAGTTGCACATTTTGGGGGTAATTTACTCTTGGTAATACGAATACCAAATTGCGCTGCTTATTGGATACTGGTACGCTAAAGAAATAGCAATGTCCGTTAGCGCAGTACAGTACAACATTGCCCTTATCTGGCATGGTTGAAAGCAGGGTAAATGTTACGTAACTTACCTGAAGTCTTTCTACGGTCTGTCACTCTCACTGGAATGTCAGGAGGAGAACGTCCAACACCGCCAAACAGCTTCCTCCAATGCCTTGAAACAACTTCCACCAATCGATTGCTAGTACATGCACCAGAGCACAGATCTCAAAGCCTTTACAAAAGTCTTGATCTAGACACGTAAAAATCGAGCCTGAATATAGGCCGATGGTTTTCTGAGGAACGGAAACAACTTCCCAAGTTCTGAGGGAACTAATCACATACGTAACGTAACTCATGGCTTAGAAGTAGAAATGCCGAAGAAATGAACTCAACCATTCGCACAGTCGAGTTTTGTCCTTCAAATTTCGGCACTGAAAAGAATCGCAAGGCGCAAGACTTCAGGTGATCAACACCACAACATTACACTTTACAGCACGCAATGTCCGTGTTCATGTATTGTAAATTTGGGGGTGAGAGCCGTGGAGACAGGATGAACTGGAACTAAGTTTGTACAGGAATGCAGTGTACACTATGGTACACCGAAGACTGAAGTGCTGTGGTGTGAACAGCACCTCACCTACCTAGGCCAAAAAGCATCAGCATGCAGGCGATCACACTTCACAGCCACAAAGACTGTACTGTGTTCATCTGTAGACTTTACGAGCTGTTCAGCATTACGATCTGATACAGTTCACACGCACAACAACACGCACATGAACACTCTGATGCGGTCTGCTACCACGGTCAATAGCTAGTACAGGCTACAGCTACTGTCGCGTACATGGAAATCCAGTCTATTGACCGGGGCCGGTGCCCTCAGCGCGTACAGAACGAAGTCGTTGCATGCAGCGCACATGTTGATACGATGCGACCAGCAGCAGCGCGTAATCATAGCTGCATGGCCAGCGCCCTGCGGCTGCTAGACGTGCGACCGGATTTCCATGTCCATGACAGTACAATGATCTACAGTCAGTGCTAGTATGTCACGGAACATGATAGACAAGATGTTGGAGAAAAAAACCACCCAGCTAGGACCGTGACTCTCTTGTACTGCTGTCTGCACCCCGGGCGCTGTGCAGTCACAGACCTGTGAAGACCTGGCTGACACAGCCCACGAACCTGACTCACGCCATCGGATTACATTGAGCAGCATTGTACTACAGTGCTTGCAACTGAAATCCGATCACTGAGTGGTGCACTCACATCGCAAAGGCCCAACACGGGATTGTAAAGCTACGAAACAGAGACCGCTAGAATGTGAACGCATCGTTCAGGGGTCGGATTTCAGTTGCCAACACTGTAGTAACAGTTACTGTTCTGTAAGATTGCGAAATTCCGTATAATAGTAATTATGTAGATCTACATACTGGGCAAAATGTTACGTTATTTTGTTGGCACTCGGAGTTTATCACTAAGGCAATCAGCACCGAACAATCAATCCTAGGTGTGAAGTTTTCAATTACACGCAAGACTGTAGATTGTTTGACGAAGGTTTGAAAGCGTACTTCAGTAAGTTACAGAATACCTGTAGTTGAAGTATTTGAAGGAAGGATTTGGATACCTACCATGAGTTCTTATGATAGTGAAACAGGAAATTTGAGAAACGTTTGAACGACACACTCCAGATACACGCAACTAGGCAATGTCACCATGACATACTATTCGACATACATGTATACAAGGAAGTGCGGAGAAAGAGTATCATAATAGCCGAATGAACGGCTCAGTAAATTAGTCCATCAATGCATTACCGTGACACGACCAGTTTTGGTGTTTCACACAACACGCCCATTTGCAACAAGCATAATTGGCAAACATGTCACCCGGCACCAACAAACGAATGTGCATTGCAGGACTGGCCTGGTAACTTCAAACAGGCAAAATTGACAAAAGCGGTGCCCTGCTGAGCAACTTCAATGGGAACGAACCATGACAAACATGGCCCCTGATACAGCAAACGGGAACGCTGTTACAAACATGGTGGCCCGGAAACTTAAACGGGAACACACCAATATTATTTGGCCTGGCAACTTCAAACAGGCACAGCTAATACACTACGGCACCCAGCACCAGCAAACGGGTACGATAATACAACATCAGTCCACCACATCAAGATACCGCTGCCACAACATTGTAACAGCAACACTGCAGACAAGTATGATGTGGCCCTCCTGGCACAGGAAGGTATTGCAAAAGGGAGGGAGGAAGAGAAAATACAAGACTAACAAGGAAAAGCACTTCTTGTCCGTAGGACAAAACACACCAAACTGCATTCAACTATCTGCTGCAGCACGTATAAAAGCAACAATAGCAGCAGTGCCAAAAATGCAAATTACAGACCACACTCGGCGCATAATAATCCTTATTGTCATGCATCATGAGACCATCACTGCACATGTTCCCGTATAGCTATAATACTTGCTGTTGTCAAGCCACAGCCAGGATATTGTATGATTGTATTGTTGTGGACATGGAAATCCGGTCGCACGTCTAGCGGCCCCAGGGCGCTGGCCATGCAGCCGTGGATAAGCGGTGCACACATACGTTTACGCACTGCAGCGCGCTGGTTGCATCGGATCAACATGACTGTGCACTGCACGCAGCATTTTAGTTCTGTACGCGCTGAGGGCGCCGGCCCATCGACTGGATTTCCATGTCCGCTACAGTAGCTACATGCAGGTTTCAAGCAGCTAGCCAGGAAATTGCATGTAGCTGCTATACTCGCTAATATCAAGGAGCTAGCCAGAACACAATATGGTGCTAATACTGGCAGGCAACAAGCGTAATAATACAAAGCTGCTGTAGTGTTTGATATCCCTGTTTGGATTATCAACACAGGGTCCAGAACTAGATCAAAGTGAGAACGATTTAGCTTGCAACATTCCGGTGGACACTGCAAAGTGACTGTTACAGCCTCTCATCGATGCAATTTTCCCTTTATATCAGCACAACACAAGATAACGCAACACAACCGTTGATGTACATTTCTGTGTGTAGGCTAGTCATTTCACAATATCACTAATGTGTGACAAGCCTGCTACCTGCATTATTATCAATCTCGTTTGGAGCAAGTAGTGGCAGCTCGAATGAAAACTCAATGCACCCGGGTGCACACACACACACACATACACACACATACATACACACACATATACACACACACGACACACACACACACACACACACACACACACACACATACACACACACACCACACACACACATGCACATACACACCCACAGCCACATACACACACCATGTATAATGTACCATGCATGAACCCGTCGCAAGAGAAGCACGTGAAACTGCAAATGCATTGGATGTGCACCCAAAGACGTGTCTTATAGCAGCGATAGCAGACAATATCTGATTGAAACTGATCAAGACTTGCACCAGATACCCCCGCCTAATCAACATAACTGGTGAAGGCATGACAATTGATCCCCAATGAACCTGGTTTACCCCACACAGAGCACATCAGAATAGGATGCCCCAGACAGTTACCTATGCACACACTACACTTCCTGGGGGGGGGGGGAGGCAGTATAGACAGCACACTGCTCTAATGGAAGCAGACACTACATGCACTGGTGGCATGAAGTGAAATTGGAGTTACTTTTCCAGCCACAATAAACAGCGGAGTACTGGGAACCCAGAGCCAACAGACACACCAAAAACCTTGGCAAGAAGGTATCGTTCCAACAGATTGGAAGGCTACACACACACACACACACACACACACACACACACACACACACACACACACACACACGCACACATACACCCATGCACACACACACACACACACACACACACATACACCCATGCGCACATGCACATGCACCGACATACACACGTACACGCATACACACACACATGCGCATGCACGCACATACACATGTACACATGCATGCGCACATGCACACACAAGCGCAGTACGAGTCGCCTGTGGTAGCATGACTTCCTTGGCTTGGTCTTTGCAGTGAGTACACACCATACAATTATTGTAAATACACACAAACATCAAGTGACGTACCTGGTTGATAGGTCACCAGTCCAATGCATGCTCAGCAATGTGTAATCCAGTTGACAGACATCTCATGACGTAATACCAGCATGCGCCTCCAGCAGTGCCCGGTGATGAAACTGCATGGGATTACAACCACGAGACAAATAAAACACACATGTAGTCTGGATAAGGACGAACTACTGACCCTTCGCGATTACACCACACAACAAAAGCCCAAACCCTTTGGTGGAGAGAGTATATTTCATTCTTACTCTGATGAGAGGACTGGACAACTGACAAAGAGACAAACTGACAAATGACAACGAGACCAGACGAGACAAGGGAATATATCCAGGAATGTTGGGCAACAAAATGAACCGCACAGGAAGGGAGACCACGACAGCGGATGCCAAATGGCCCAGAATCTGCGAAAACCAGGCTTAGGGTGAAATTTCACAAAATGACTTTTTCCCATTTTCAGCTTCTACTGGGCATGGGAGGTTAGGAAACAAAATATTACAGGTGTGGGTCGACTAATAGTGGTATTAAATCTATCTCAAACACACTAGGGTATTGTGTTAAAAAAATCCCAAAAAAACACAAAATTGTTATCACAGGAAAGAAATGAAGAGAGATGCACCAGACTGAAGGAAGAGACATGGATGATTTTTGTTTAGGTGCCATGACAAGGTAGGCATGTGGGGGCAGGCTTGTTGTGGACCCTTGGTGCTGCAGGCTGTAGTGGCCATGCACAGTTCTGCATGAATTTTGTTTGCTCCTCACTCAGCACATTCTGGGGCTGAATACATGTACTGGCATGCTCTGGCGCTACACACTACAAGGAAACCCGACTCCAGTTGAGATGGCACCTTTTGACGGGTGAATCTAGTACAACTGCTCAGAAGCAAGCAAGAACACAGCCTTTCAAACTGTTCCACTGTTCATAGTAAGCGCATAGTGTGCTGGCGTGCTGCAGTATCTGCTTGGTGCTGACAAGCAAGTGAAATATCGGCACGCTGTACAATCCCTTGCAGCTAGCTGACCAGCGAGGAAAGTCTCGAGTGGAGGCGTCTCGATCTGCTCGCTCATTCGCGTGGCCTTCAGTAGCACTTCATCGCCAAGGACTTCAATTCAAAACAGTTTTCACACTGCGCTTCAAGCCTTTTCCTCGTGAACTTGCTGCAAACGTATGAGCTCTGCTACGCGTGTTCCTTTGCGTGAGGCCCAGAAACAGCTAGTATCTCCGTACTTCGATTGGCTGGATCGATGTCGTCCAGGTTCTCCTCGCTATCGCCATCACGACTCTAACTGGAGACGATTTCTTGACCATTTTCCGCAAGCAGCAGCTAGCCCAGAAATTTCGCCATCCCGGAGTGTAGGAGATGGAATCGGTTCGATCAGCTCAAAAACTCTTCGTTGTGACTAGAGGAGTAAAAAAGTAAGTAAATTATCGTATCCGTTCCCGAAGGGAACTCACGACGGCCGCTAACACCCGATAAACTAGAGGAGTAGCAGGGAATATTCTACCGGAAGCCCTTTGACTTCCCTGACTGCTGAAACCCTTCCTGCCATGAATGCTACTTCTTCAAACGAGCGAGATTCTCTTTGGTTCCACTTCACTGCACTCGATCGTCCACGCGACACAACCTTTTTACAAAACATCAATTTTCTCAAAAAAATGATTTTCACCCTAAGCCTGGTTTTCGCAGATTCTGGGCCAAATACAATGCCGTCACAAAGGGGACCAGTACAGGCAGTGCGCACACGGGGGTCAGAAGTCGGTGCAGTAGCATGTACAACGGAGTGACTCAAATGCAGCGTGTAGAACGGAGTGACTCAAACGCAGCGTGTACATAGACAGATTGATAGAGAGAGAGAGAGAGAGAGAGAGAGAGAGAGAGAGAGAGAGAGAGAGAGAGAGAGAGAGAGAGAGAGAGAGAGAGAGAGAGACAGAGACAGAGAGAGGGAGAGAGAGAGAGAGAGAGAGAGAGAGAGAGAGATGGATACAGAGAGAGAGATGGATACAGAGAGAGAGAGAACAGAATAGATTGATAGAGAGATAGAGACCGAGACAGAGTCAGAAAAAGAGAGAGAGGTAGAGAGAGAAACAAAACAGAGAGAGATTGATAGAGAAAGCGAGAGAAAGATACATACACACAGATGGAGAGAGAGAAAGAGAGAGAGAAAGAGAGAGAGAGAGAGAGAGAGAGAGAGAGAGAGAGAGATAGAGCGAGGAAGAGAGAGAGACAGAGATAGATAGATGGAGAGAGAGAGACAGACATAGAAAGAGAGAGAGAGAGAGAGAGAGAACGACGGAGAGAGAGAGAGAGAGAGAGAGAGAGAGAGAGAGAGAGAGAGAGAGAGAGAGAGAGAGAGAGAGAGAGAGAGAGAGAAGAGAGAGAGAGAGAGAGAGAGAGAGAGGAAGGGAGAGAGAGAGAGAGAGAGAGAGAGAGAGAGAGAAAGAGGGAGGGAGAGAGAGAAAGTGAGAGAGAGAGGGAAAGAGAGAAAGAGAGAGACATTTTGGTTTGCTCTAGATTGTTCCAACTTGACACCATTTCACTTGTTATTACAGTCGAATGTCACTCATCCGGTCGCCAGTTATCCGAGCACGTCGGTTATCTGACAAGCCCGGGAGTGGTAATTTTATGACTCTCAACAGTAAAATTCTTTAATTTTTTTGTGTGTATATTATACGGTGTAACAACCATTTACTTGAAGTAGATGTGGTCACGTATGCTAACATGTATGTGTACATGGAGCAATTCATGAATATGCATGAATATATTTGGGTATTGTGCACGTAAATCAGTGAAATCCAGCCATATATGCACATAAAAAATGATATCAGTTATCCAACATATCCAGTTATCCAACATGCCTGATTCCCTAAGTGGTCGGATAAGTGACATTCGACTGTTCTTGCTTGTCTAATCTAACTATTACATGCCGCAGTGAACTATCGTGCTCCCTCAGGCCCTGTGGACTTTGTGTTTGTGTCTGCAGGGGCGTCGGACACGGTACAGTCACTACGGTATTGACCGTACCACTTTTTCCCCAAGGACCCTGTGAATAAATGAAATACACTGATCTGGGCTCTAAATTGTGAACATTTTCGCCTCAGCAACCCCCCCCCCCCCCACAAGTAAACTGCACTTCAGATGTCTGACCGCATCACACAAAAATACCTTACGACGCCCCTGGTCTGGTCACGTTTCGCGCAAGAGTCACCAACTAGTGCTAGTACAGTTGCGCTCGGTGAAAGCCGGCCCGAAGTGCAAAGCAAGCGCCGCGAAGCCAGCTCCCATTACATCACTGGCGATTTGTGTGTATGAACTCAGCTGTACGCACCTCGTGTAAAAGTTCGGAGTGCACGTGTTGCATGCTAAAAACAGTTCAAAATTTCTTTCATTCACTTCACGAAGTACAGCTCAAGATCAAGAAGAGATCGAGAAGAAGGACATGGCCATTCCCAAAATCTCGTACAGAGCCCGCAGTGCAGACAGAACAGCAAACAAAGGTCACATAAACATGCTCCGCAATCCCATTTCCAAAAAGAGGTGAAACCATTCTCTATAGTTTTCTTCGCAAGCCCTATTCAAAAATGGAGAATAATGAGTTCTTTGGAGGAAATGAATTGAGTAGACGAGAACAAATAACGACCCTCTACAGAGCAGGTCATACTCCGAGACAAATTATGGACATAACTGGTTACAAGAAGACTCAGGTAAGTGAAACAGATCACCAGTAATGTGATAAAATCGAGAATGAGTCACAAAACAATCTTCGATTCTATTGTCCATGTTCAGGTAAGGGACACATGCAATCGAGTTGAAATTGGGAGAAGCGTAGCAAGACAGGCAGGCAGCGGAACAATGCCGAAACTCTCACCTGTGGGCATGGAGTTTGTTGCTGATCACATCGCTGCCAATCGTTTCGCGAGCAGTGAGAAGATTTCTGAGGTTCTGGACACGGAGCAACCTGGTGAGGAAATGGCAGCCCCCAGCACGGTACGCAGAAGCCTCAGACGGAATAACTACAGGTTCGGGCGGCCGGTGCGTAAGTTTGTTCTGAAAGAAGCAGCAAAGAACAGCCGGCTAGTATGGGGAATTCAGCATCGCCAGTTTGAATTTGACCGCGTTGTCTTTGCAGACGAGGCATGCTTTGCCTTGGGTCCTGACGGACGTGTTATGTCCTGGTACCCGCGGGACGACAAGCCAATAGTCGAAGTGCCACACTATCCAGCAAAGGTGCACGTTCTTGGAGCCATTTCGCTTTTCGGAACCGTTGGGCATTTGTCCTTTGCTCCGACGTGGAATGCAGCAACGTTCGCCCAAGGAATGGCAGCCGACATTGTACCGAGTGGCATCGGATTCTTTGCAAACGACTGGTCCTTGCAGCTCGACAATGCTACCTCCCACACGTCAGCTCAAGCACAGCAGGATCTTCTCGATAGCGGAGTACGGAAGATCCTGTTTCAACCTCCCTGCTCGCCGGACATGAACCCAATCGAGAATGTGTGGGCTCTTCTCAAGAAGAGAATAATTCCACATCGCTGCGAGAATGCTGACCAGCTGGTGCAGGCACTGCACCTGGAGTGGGACACGTTGGCTCCTGACACGGTTTCCCCATACGTGGAGTCAATGCCACGTCGTGTTGAAGCCCTAATTGAAGCAGACGGTGGCCACACCAAATATTGAAGCCCTGCTGCTCTGAAATAAACTGCTTCGAAACGATCCCCGTCTTCTTTACTTGTGCTGAACTGAAATGAATGTTACACTTGTCTTTGTTTGGCGCGGTTTTGTAAGCATGCACGCGTATGAGTACAGCACATGCACAGTTCATATGGCACACGCGCACCCTACTGTCACTTGTACTTGTACAACTTTGAGGGCGTCAAGGGCCGCATCAGTACTGGGCGCCAGTTATGCACTTCTGGCCGGATTTCACCGAGCGCAACAGTATTTTTTGATCATTTCTGAATGTATTTTCAGTAGTTTTCCACAAGAGTCACCACCTAGTATTAGTATTTTCTAATCATTTTTGAAAGTATGATCGATAAGCTCATGTCAAATTTCTGATATGTCATTTTATGGAAATCCCAGCTGTGCTGCCAACTACACATTTGAAAAATCTAATT